AATTTGCTGTGGGCCTGAAGTTTATAATTGTTGCATATCTTAATCTTTTGCATTCACCTGTATAAACTCACTACTCTATTCTATGATGATTTGTTGATGGGAGACAATATAGAGAATAACCTACGCCATCATCTCTGATCTTTATATATCTGCTGTGCAACATTACTTCTTTTCGCCCTGAAGTTTCAGTCATCAATAATGTGTGTTTGGGGTGGCTGGGCTTTTAGGTTTTTCTTTTGATGTGATCTAAGTTTCTTTCACGATTATTTTCACGTGGAACTCAAGTGTTGACAAGATATTAACATATATAAAGCCATTTGAGCTTTTTATATAATTTTAACGCAAGAGCCACAAGTCACCATCGGAAGTTCTTTTTACTTTTTTGAATTCTGTTTGGTTGTGTGAAAAACACAAATGGATAGACACACACACATAGAGAAAGAAATCATGCTAGTCTTTCCTCTAGCTCAATCACATTGCTTTTCTAGGTATTGCCAACTTCTAAGATCTTATGTGTTGAAATTTCATACTATTTATAGTAATTTATGGAGGGTTACGTCTGAAGAGAAGAGGGAATTGGAGCGCCTTCAAAAACCAATATATAACTCAGTTCGACGAGCAGCAGAGGTTCATCGACAGGTTGCAATCTGCGCCTCCTTATCCTCGTATTTCTGCGCAAAATGCATATGAGACTGTGTATGGTGAAAGGGCGAAACATATCGACCTCTTTTACTACGAGCTTTCTTATTAATTCTTGACTTTGGCTTGATTTCTTTATGAGCAGGTTAGGAAGTACATCAGGGGAATTTTGAAACCTGGAATGCTAATGACCGACTTATGTGAGACTTTAGAGAACACGGTTCGTAAGCTAATATCCGAGAATGGTTTGCAAGCAGGGATTGCTTTCCCTACAGGATGCTCTTTAAATTGGTAAAGTGTTGGCTTTTGTGTTCAACTTTACTTATTTTCTTGGATGTATCTACTTTTTCACTTCTTCTCTTTTTTAGGGTTGCTGCCCACTGGACTCCAAATACAGGAGATAAGACTGTACTTCAGTATGATGATGTGATGAAGTTGGACTTTGGGACTCATATAGATGGTAATGTTACTGTGTTTGTTTAGTGAAACTTCTTTTCGCTTGCTGCTTGTAATTTAATTCTTTTTTGCATGACTTGTATTAGTACCTTGTCTACTGATCTTATCTCAAAATTCTACTCAATTTGCAGGGCTTATAGTTGACTGTGCATTTACAGTGGCCTTTAATCCCATGTTTCATCCTCTGCTTGAAGCCTCACGGGAAGCAACGAATGCTGGTATTAAGGTATTCGCACTTCCTGTAGCAGAATCTCATTTATGAATTGAACCCATGACACATTGCATGGTTCCGTCTAGCTTTTGTTGATTCACCATAGATCAAGTTTCATCTATACTCACTTTTCTCAGCTCTTTAACAGAGTGTGATGGTGAGAGAATTATTGTTTGTACCTGGCTGTGTTTAAAGGATAATATTTTTTTAGCATTTTTACTTCCTGATCCATAGGAAGCATCAGGCAGAATTTCATTGCATGAGATGGATTCATCATCTCTCTTCAAGATCTAGACATATCGATCATAACCTAAGGTTTTATAGGAATCTGGAATAGACGTTCGTCTGTGTGATGTTGGTGCTGCAATCCAAGAGGTCATGGAGTCATACGAAGTTGAAATAAATGGAAAGACTTTTCAAGGTACCTCCTTTACTCGGGTAGTTGCCTAGTTAAATGCAGTTCTTCCATTACCATGGATGATGTGTGTTAATTTGGTAGGCTCGTTAGTATATCTGGAGGAGTTGATGTGTGTAATGTTAACTCGATTATACTTTGGTCTTCTCTGGCATTTAAGATGTTTATACGATGGTTTATCCTCTTAACTCTTCATTTTTGGTTCGTTTAGGTTTAGCAGTATGTGCTTCTGTTGATATATCAAGCTCCTATTGCTTTGGCTGGTGCATTATATATGAATGTGATAGCAGACATTAATTAGGAAAACTCAGAAGTAACAAAGTCGTTTACTTTGCTAGGCTAATTACAGCTACACTTTTCTAAGCATTACTGGTGTTATGTCCATTAAGGGATTCTTAGGCATTGTTTACACATTTAATTGGCTAACTTGGGCTCATGTATGTTGGGAAAATTGCAATCAAGTTTATAGTTGAATATAGTGAGATCATTGCAGAATTGCTTGTTATGACACCACAGTTATGGAATTAGTGGAATTGCACCACTAAATTCGTTGCTTGTGGCGGTAATATGTCATTGTTTTGATGCATATGTGCCTCTAAGGTGTGAGGTTGGCTTTATTTTTTACGCTATTTCATCCCATCTTGCGGTAATTATTGACAAAGATGCTGATAAAGCTTCATGTTATAGTTCCAAGTATGTTTTATGAAGCCCATTATGGTCTTCTCGTTTCTGCAGTTTCTTAAAGTGACTTCTTCGTTTTTCGTCATGTTAGAAGTCTTGTTATGAAGATCTGAACTCCATTTTTTTTTTCAATCCACTGGAACTTTATTCTTACTCTTCTTTTCTTGTCCTGCTTCTCTAGAGACATCTTTGTCTTAAATGTACGTATTGCTTTTGCTTATTCTGATGCCTAGCCCACATTAGTTCCTCTTAAGTGTGAAATTTTTTGATCATCTATATGATTTGATAGTTGATATTGATGCTTCTTCCCAGCTTTCTTTTTACTCTGTACATTGTCTGTTCATTTCAAATTACTTCAGTAGACTTTGTAAACTCGGTCTTCATAGTTACCTGGATGTCTCATCCCAGAAAAGAATTGTTGTCAAGGATTTTGCTTCTGCTCTGTATATTATTCGATTTTGATCTAACTTGTTGCCTTTAGCACAGGTACTCTTCTATTTTTTAATTAATTTTAAGACTTAAGTTATGTACTTAGCAACAAATACTTTCCTAATGTTTGGATTATTGCATGACTTGTTGCAGTTAAGAGCATCCGAAACTTAAATGGACATAGCATCGGGCCCTATCAAATCCATGCTGGAAAATCTGTGCCCATTGTGAAGGGAGGTGAGCAGACAAAAATGGAAGAGGGTGAATTTTTCGCGATTGAAACTTTTGGTTCAACAGGTAATTGCCTTTGCATTTCATGTTGGATTATTATGAGTTTGTGTCAATGTCCTGTTAGGGGTAACTTTGTTCTTTTGCAGGAAAGGGATATGTAAGAGAAGACTTGGAGTGCAGCCATTACATGAAAAATTTTGATGTTGGCCACATACCGTTGAGGCTGCCCAGAGCAAAGCAACTCTTAGCAACAATTAATAAGAACTTCTCCACCTTAGCATTTTGCAGACGTTATTTAGACCGGTTGGGTGAGACCAAATATCTTATGGCATTGAAGAACTTGTGTGATGCTGGAATTGTGCAGGTGAAATTGATTTAATTTGTTTTATTATCAAGTTTTTAGATGACATACCATTGGGCCAACTTTTTACATGCCCTTCACTGGACAAGGTGATGCTCTGGTGTATAAATTTGGTATTTTGTTCACATGCAGCCTTATCCACCACTTTGTGACGTGAAGGGAAGCTACGTTTCTCAGTTTGAGCATACCATCCTACTCCGGCCAACTTGCAAGGAGGTTATATCCAGAGGTGATGACTATTGATCTTCTGTATGTAACATGGCAGTGAATACCAAGAAGATATAAAGAATTACATGTTAGCAAGATACCGTTGGGCATTTACTTTGATTTTGGGATGTTGGATTTCTGTTTGTTTCCTGCATCTCTCGTCTGAAAAAGGTATGAAATGGTTCAAGATATATGAAGATTCTTCTTCTGGAGTTGCTTCAGTATCGGCTCTGTTGAACTGTTGAGACATATTATGAGGTAGGGGAGTGGTAGAAAATTTGCTTATAAACACATTGTGCAGACCGTAACTTGCTTTAATAATTTACGATTGGACGTGGATAGTGTTTACGGACATTTTTATTTTATTCGAATAACTGGGCCGTCATCTCTTTACGTAAATACCATAATACTTTTATTGACGTCCTTGGCTTGTAACGGGATAAATGCGTTTGACCTTGTTCTTAGCATTTTCTGAAACTTGAGGTGGAAGCTTTCGGAATTTAGGGCTGCAATTTAGTTGGTTAAAATTCTCTAGAAGTTTTATGTACGACTACTGTAGAATACTTGCACATGACCCTACACATGCCAATTCAATTGAACTTATGAATAGATAAGCCTCTAAACATTTTTAGATATACAGATGTACCCTTGGACCATAAAGCTCCCTATCTGATGGTGAGAAGTTCTTCTGAGTTGCATTGGTTAAATGTTTTTAACTTATGTTGAACAACAGTACAATGACACCCCTAATGCTAAGGGCCTTGGAAAATAATGCAAGAATGCACTAAACCACGCCGACTTCGACAAGTTAGTTCCGTGTTTACAAACTTCGCTCATGAATTTCACTACCATGAATCTACTACATGTCCTATCTGAAATCTAATCGGTCATTCACTATCCTCGTGCTTGCTTGGCGAAGATTTTCTTCAACGAAACGGATAATTTGTTCGTATAAATACGAGAGTCCACCTAATTATTGGATCCATATTTTATATTTATATTTGAAAGGAAGTGATTGATCTTCTCGCTTCTCTACGGTCGAGAGCATGAGTGCCACATGTAAAGCAGATATAAATGTCGGTCCATTATACAATGATCAAGAAAAAGTGTCTTTGTACATACGTTATTACTCCTAGACATAAAAGAAAAGCCAACAAAAAGGAAAAGGCAAATGTCTAATTGCCAAAACAAAAATAAATATGTAAAACACCGGAACTTTCAAAACTCACTTTTCGATAGTTTTTTATGATGGATAGTGGAACAGCAAACATTTCTGTCAGTATACCAAAAAAAAACATTTATGTCGGTAAAATCATTTTTACACACGTAAAACATAATTTATCATAATTTAATTTAATTTCTGAAACTTCACGACGCAAGTTTCATTTTAAAGTACTTCAACATGCCAAAATTAGGCTGACACTTTTCACGAAAAACACATAAATATTAACTTTCCATCTATTGAGAGCAACAAAATCCCTAGTATGCTATTTTTATCAGAAATTCACGGAGCGTTGTGCCCTATACAACCGTGAAAATGGCATTGAAATCCAACGCCGGAGTACGCCATAAAGTTGTTTGAAGAACCTCCTCTCGCAAAGGACATGAAGTTTCCAGATTTCCTGTCTTCCAGATGCGGGTTGTCTACTTAAATGAAGGTTTGGGTCTCACTCCATAGTTTACCAGATCAAGTATAGGTGTCCTGTAAAAATGGATTGGGGTGCACCCTTCATTGAAGGAACAAAGCTTTGCTGCAGTAGGCGTTGTGGCTAGGGATGCTGAAGGTCAGCTTGTAGGATGCAGAGGCATGATGATCCAAGCTGGGTCTGCGGAGGAAGCTGAGGAACGGGTTGATGCTCGCGAAGCAGAAATGATGGGCTAAAGTGCACATAGAGATGGATGCTGAAGTTGTTTTTACAGACATCCATCAATTTCCCCATGTCCTACAACTGGGAGCATAAAAAATATCCCGTCACCAGATTTATGCTGAGAAGAATTTGTTTCATTCCATTGTAGACGGCTCCTTAGGGAGGTTTATGCATGTGCTAACAGGGTTGCAGTGCATACTAGGAAGAAGGCTGCGCAATCAATACTGGGATCTTGGTCCCCCATCCTCTTTGCTCTTGTTATTTACTTCTGTTGTAACTTGGTTCTCATCTGTTTTAAATGAAGGAGTTATGAATTGTTTGTTCGCCATCAATCAATTACACGTCAAGAAGGTACTGAGACCCACATACAGAGTTACAATGATCGACGCCAAGCTTGTCCATACTAGAGTCGCAGACTGTTTCTTCTCCATCTGCGTTTTCTCTCTCTTCCCCCTATTTCATATAATTTTTCTTCTCCCTTATCCTACCTTTTTTCATTTTATGGCTGGTTCATCGAGGTCCCTTATTCAACATTGACTATATCGCTAACTGAGAAAATTATTAAATACTCTCTCTTATGCTGGCCCTCTCCCTATGAGCCATTAGATGTGGGACCCATATGATTTAACGGCTCATATAAAGTGAACTGACGTAAGTCGGGAGTATTCAAAAATAATTCCACTAATAAATTTGAAAGTCTCCAAATGCCGGCTTGTATAGAAACAATATTTGTCAAATTTATTTGTGGGTGATTAGACCGAGCCGTAATTGAAGAATCTTCTTATTATTACCCATAATTACCAAAGGCATGACATGATGCATGAGCCGCCAAATTAGAAGACAGAAGGAATGGGGATGTGAATCTCGCTCATGCATGAGCGCAGCATGAGATGGCATGAATCGGAAACGAATACAAAAGTCCCGATTTGTGCCACGTCAAAAGGACGAAAAATAATTGGTTGTGTTCCCCGTCAAGCCGGTTGCTCAATTTAACATCGCCAATATTATTCTGTCTACCGTTCGAGAAAGAAGAAGGTTCCACTCCTCTGGAGATATTATATTCCTCATAGCAAACCAACTATATGACATGTGAAGAAAAAACAAAGACACATGACTAGTTGTACTTTGTTTTACACGGTTTTTAGAATAGTATAACCCCAATATATTAATCTGCATGGCTTGACTTAAAAGGCTATAAAACTTTCACGAGACAAGGACAGGTCAAAGTCATCTAACCCTACCAGCTCCACCACTCCAATTTCAAAGGGTTAGGAATGTCCACATGAATTACACAAAGGTGCCCAAATCCCACTTGCTAAGTTCTATCCAAATCAACTTTTACTTTTACACTTCACTTAGTCTAAATCTCGTTGTTCACGTGCTTCGACTTTTAATTCAAAACTCTTAAATTTTTCATTGCACTCAACGTAAATACATATATATATATATATATATTCATAATTTTTTTAATTTTGATGAGAAAGGGAGGAAAAAGAGGAGCGGAGAAAAAGAAAGGAAAAGAAAAAGGAAGCGCAAGTCCTCAACTGCTGCTCCTCTCCTCGCCCTTTTTTGTCTTTTGTTGGCCCGTCTCCCCCCTCTTAAAAACCAGGAAGAGGGGAAGAGGAAGAGAGGAAGCCGCCTTTGCATTTCATACATATCAAGTTGGGGGTTGAGTTGCCGGTACAACACGAGAGAGAGAGAGAGAGAGAGAGAGAGAGGGAGAGGGAGAGGGAGAGGGAGATACAATTCAATTCAAACGCCGAATTCAGGAACAGAGTCGAATAAGAAGGTTATCATCATCATCATCATCATCATCGTCATCATCGTCATCTTCTCCTTACGCTCTGCTCTTGGATTTGCTTTTCCAATCCATCTATCCATCGATGTATGTATGTTAGGGTTTAGGCGAGCTTTGCTACTGCGGAAGACGAGCTTTGATCGTGTCTTTCCTCTGCTTCTAACCCTTTCCATTTTGCTCTTCCCCGCACCCCATTAGTGCGGAATTGATGGACGACCAAGTTAGCAATTGGCTTTTTTTGCTGAAACCATTCGTTTTTTCAAGTGTTCACGCGTCGCGCCCTTTCTCTCCGATTTCAGGTCATTTTGTCCATGGAGGGGGAGAACCTGCCCGTGGAAGCGGTTCCTGCCCAAGAATATGGCGTAGAAGAGGCTACCGATCGCCTTGCTGCCCTGCAAACTGATGCCGATGACGGAAAGGATAATGGTCCTCCTCCCCTCCACTCTCTTTTCTCGCGCTCCCAAAACCCCCCCTACTCTTTGGCAGCGTTTTCTCTAGTTGTTGCTTATTGGATTGGTTCACATTTCCTGCCTACTGCGTCTAGATTAGGTTATTTTCTCTTTTTTTCTTTTTGGTTTGAATCGATCGTCACTTAATTCGGTTCGATTTTCCCACAGGAGAAGTCGCCAAGAAGAAAAAGAAAAAAGAACAAAAGCAAGTAATGCTCTTTCTACCTCCTCCCCTCCCAATGAGTGCAGTTCGAGAATGTTAAACGTGTTGTCGTTTGGCTCTTAGGAAAAAGAAAGAATTGCCCGAGCAGACGGATCCACCCTCAATTCCTGTTGCCGAGCTCTTTCCATCTGGGGAGTTTCCAGAGGGTGAAATTCAACAGTACAAGGATGAGTATGTTCCCGACTTATCCTGCTTTTTATCTGTAATTGTTGTGCTGTCTATTGGTTGGATGGACTGTTATAAAGTTTCCCTCCTGCCCTTCTAGTGGCTAGAATCTTCTGTTAATTACTTGTTGTAGCAGCATTAGGCGTGCCTAGGAGATTCCTTTAACTTACAGACGATACTAGGTGAGGTTCCCCAAGAACTTTATATCTCCAATTGGAAATCTTTCTTTCCTTCGTTCTCTACCTTCCATTGTTGAAAGAGAATTTTCTATCATTAGAAAATAGAGTCTCTAAATGGGACTTCCGATTAAAGTAGGGAGGAGGAGGTGACCAAAGAGCAAAGTCTGGGAGTGCTGCTCAAACCAGTACTTGGCCCACCGCTATGCTTGGTTGAATTGCTGGTGACCCGCCAAAACCTTGTCAAGCATGTCCGTCGCCATTTTTAGTCAGTCCTGGGGCTGTGATTTTATCGTTCTGCAAGGCCAGTCAATCTGTGTTCAAATTGGCCACCTATGGGTCAGTCCTGGGTCTATGAAAGAGCAAATCATCATGTTTTCGCTCCCTTAAAAGTGGTCCAAAGCTCTTTTTGTCAAGAGCAAAAAGTGAGGTTTCTTAAGAGATGGTATAGGTTGGTCAATAGCAAAAAGTAAGGTTTCTTAAGAGATATGGTATATGTTGGTCATATTATTTATCTCATTGGATCAAATGCAGTGTGACTGCCGATCTTGTTTTGCAAAGTATGAAATTGTGTGTGTGTGGATGTGTGCGTGGTCAAGAGAGAGAGAGAGAGAGAGAGAGAGAGAGAGATCCATGGCTGGTTCAGGTCTTTAGATGTAGTATTTTGATGCAGCTATTATGTTTTCACTAAGTTTGGTGAAGGTGGACCTCACAAATCAAATAGGAGTCTTAAAGGATGAGGATTCTTCTTATAGATAAATTAGCAGTCTTATATCTTTTAGCATTTGATTTTTATTAGGATTCTGTTAAGTTTCCCTTTTAGTATAAATAGGATCTTATGTTTCTGAAGGTCTAGAGTTTTTTTATTTAAACTTGGAGTAGAACTGTAGAGTCTATGAATATTGTTGTAACTCTTTCTTTGCAATAGAGCTTTTTGCAAGTGTTTACTTTGGGATTGTGTGATGCAATTCTTGGTGTGCTGCTTAAGAAACTCTAGGTGTGATGCTTAGGAAGCTTTGGGTGTGAAGCCTAAAAATTTATTCTTTGATGTGGATCTCGCCGTCCTACATCAATTATGGTATCAGAGGGAAGGTTCCTACACTTTCGCCCACAAGAATGACTAACTTTGAGTTGAATTCCGAGGTTGGCGAGTTGATATCCGAGTTGGACACTATGCGTAAAGATCATGAATGCTGTTTCAAGCAACAAACAGCAAGATTGGTAAATTCTCTGAGCAAATAAAGAAGTTTATTGCCCTAGGAGTGCAACCAAGGGAGAGAACTGTCAATCGAGTCCCTTCACAAAATGAAAATATTAGAGGTGTTCAAGATTTTCAAGTATTAGAAGAGTCTGAACTCAAGAAGGAAAATCTTGAATGACATGACGTTGTTGATTGCACGAAAGGGATAAAAATAATATAAACAGATCAACTATGGCTTGAAAGTTAGTGCTTCTGGTGTGGAGATTTCAGTCATGTTGCTTATCAATGTTCAGTGAGGGTGCACGTTGGGCAAAACAAGGAAGATTCAGTTCAAAGTGTTTCTGAATATCAAGCAAACACAGTTGAAAATGTTGGTTTTGAGATACCATTCTAGTTTTATTATCACAAGAAGTTTGATCAGGAGTTTTTCTTGAAACATGGCCTAACTGAACTTCTTTCGGTTTAAGGGACACTTATCGTGATGCAGATGAAGCTGGCGAATTGAATATTTATTACTTTAAAACTCATGGACGAGCTTTCTCCAACCAGGGGAGAATGATGCAACCAAAAAAATCCTGCAAGATGATATTTGTTCAAAAATAAGAATTCCCAAGGGATTAGGATTCTTATAGATAAATTAGCAGTATTATATCTTTTAGGATTTTATTAAGTCTCCTTGTAGGTTTAAGTAGGATATAATGTTGCCCTGTTCTATTACGTTTCTCGCTTAGAGGTTCGCTATTTCAACTAGCAGTAGAACTGTAGAGAGTTTGTAAGTATCGTCGTTGTTCTTTCTTCTTAATAGAGTTGATGTTATTTGAAATTTGCAACTATTTGCTTTGGGATATTGTGATGCAATTCTTCTCTCAGGTGATGTGATGCTCAGGAGGCTTTGGGTGTGAAACCTAAAGATCTATTCTTTGTTGTGGGATTCGTCGTCCTGCATCATATTTTCGGTCCATTTTCTTTAATCTATCTTGGGACTGGGAAAGGGATGTTTTTTTATGTACTTTTAGTGCTTGCTAGATGGTTGATGTTGTGAAGATAGCCTTTCTATGTCCTCTTCCTTTATAGATGCTCAAAGATGTACATTGATTAGGTGTTAATGCTACACATGTTTTTAATACTTAAATAGAAAATTGTCTCTCAAACGTGTTATACGTGGCATGCTGCGTCGCTCCTCGCTTATTAATAATTGTGAAATGATTAAAGTGTCGTTGTGGGCTCAATCAAATAAAGTATAATCATCTTAATCTGACATGTCATGGTGATGACATGAGAACATGAATTGCTAGCTCTAGGAATAATTTG